ATTCGAGCCGATTCCCGGTCCGATAACATGTCGAAAAATGTATTTGAATGACAATTTTCGACCAATTTGACTAAAAAAACAGATTTTTTGTCATTCAAACACATTTTAGACATGTCATCGGACAGGAATCAAATGATATTGTCTATTCAAAATAATCGCGCGGGTGAACGAGTAAAAAAACGTGTAGAGAGTCTCCAAACCTATAGAGGCGCTGTAGAGACGCAGACATTTTCACTCGTTCACTCGCGCGATTATTTTGAATAGACAATATAGACGTGATGGGCCCTGTCGAAATCTATCATTTGGTATCAAAAATGCTTGAATATCTCGTTCTAGGGAACAGTTATCAGCCGGCTCGCCATCTGACCGGGCCGGCCCGCTTGCAGCTATGATTTTTCCATTGCATCATTGTGTCCTCCACAAAAGTATTGTAAAACCTGTTTTAGAAGGGCCCTCCAAAAGGGGATTGAAAAAACAAAAGGGCCTGCCCTTCTAATGCAGGTTTTACGGTACACAAAGGTTACGGTAGTTGAAATTGATAGATTTTCATGAATTTTGAACGGGAATTCACCAAATTTTCGATTGAAATTTTTTGAAAAAAATGGCAGGAAAAATGGAAGAGTTCCCTCTAATTGAAGGGCCCTTGTAATAGAAAGTGCCCTCCGGAGGTACCTTGGAACAATAGAAGAGTCGGCTTTTCTAATACAAGTTTTACGGTATTCTGGGAGGAAGTTAATAAAAAAACTCGAGAAATCTGAAAGTTTTTCGATGCGGTTCTCACATTTTTGGATTCCTTTTTCGGTTTTTTTTTCACTATTTTTATATGAATCTACATGATTTTTTTCACCAAATAAAACAGTAAAATTTTCAAAATTTACCTCCATCTGTCGAATGGTCCATCCCGAAAAGTCGAACGCCTGTTTCTTCTTGTCCATTGATTCAGAAGCCAAATAAGTTCTGAAAATCATTAATCAGATAACAGCTAGAATCCATTATTTTTCTCACTTCAACGCTGGCAGCACTTGTGTATTTCCATCGTATAGCGAGTCATAAAACTCAATTTTCTTCTCCGGAATATCGACAACAGCCATACACCAATGCATGCCCAAATGCACGGGGATCAGAAGAATATCATGTGAAAAGATGTCCACTTTACGGGTCCACCGTTTGACACTCGCGTATCCTTTCGTCTGGACATTTGTGTAGAAGAAGGTGTTGAAGGCGTACGTCTTTGGATATTTCGAGTCCTTCGTGCTTCGATCACAAATCAATTGAAGATAGAAATTGATAATGTTGTCGTTCAACCAGTGCAGCCCGCTTAATGTTTCCAAGTCTGTTCGACAGATCGGAATATTGAATGCATCCACAAACTGCTCTTCTCCACTAAGACTTTTATTCCACGCCCTTTCCAGAAGCCTATCAGCCTCATCAGGCAACGCAATGAAATCTTCCACTTTCTTTTTCTCCACCTTCGGTCTTAGCACAATTCCAATCAACTCCAGATTCTTTCTCGTCTCTTCCAACCGATCCCCCTTCGTCTCAGCTCGATGCTCTTGACGAATCCGTGCTGTTTCCAATAGCACATCCTCTTTCTGCTTTGACTTCTCATAAGCGTGTTCGTATCGTTGTGGACCTCGATGAGCAGAATTGATGCCAAGACTATCGATTTGCGATATAAGGTCTCGGAACTTTTGTTGAGTTGGTGTAGCGCTGGAAATCGATGACACTGATGGCGTCCGTGGTTGACTTCTGAATGAAGAAGCGCCTTCGAAGATCACAGAAGAATCTGTGGAAAGGGGTGTGGTGCTTCGGCTGGCACCTCGGAGTTCAGAGATTTTCTGAAAAACCATATTTTCAAACCGCTTTAAAATCTCTAAAGTTACATTTTGAGCTCTAGCCAACACATCCGACGTGGGCGACATCTTCTTATTCTTATTCTTCTCCTTCTCCGGCCAAGCCAATCCAAGAATAGCTTCAGCCTCATACTGTCCACTATCCACAACACCTTGCAAGAGCCGATCACGAGATAACAGATTCACTCGTTTTGCCTTGTTGGTCTTCTGAATCCCCGACGACATTCTCTGAATCGATGATGATGTGTATTTGAAGGCCTGTCGGAACGTCGTTTTGGCGGCTTGAGGTTTTTTCGAAGAGGAACGTCTCCAGAAGTCACGAACGTTGTTAGAAGAATACGTGGATAAGGAGAGAGGTGTGATTGATCGACTGATGCTGTCATCTGGAGTTGGAGAAGCTTCTGTGGCTGTGGAGACGGACACTTCGTCATCTTGCTGGGTCTCGTTCAAATAGATCAACTGAAAACAATATGGTCAGATAGATATTACTGTAGTCTCCATGCGCGAAGGGGGCGGAGCTAAGGTACGGTAGCGAAATCCTTCAAGTTGCATGGATTTTCCGTGCCTATTTCTAGACTTTTTAAACCAATTTTTCGACAATTTTCCTCGTTTTTAAGCAAAACTCTGTGATTTGCCGTTTTTTTAAAGAAAAATGTGCAAACCCGATGAAATTCGTCGAAAATCAAAAAACGAATCTTAGAGAATTAAGAAAAGTCATTTTATGCCTTTTTAGTGCTAAAAATGATGTGTTAAGTATTGAAAATGAAATGTAAAAGTTACGAAAAAAGCATGCTCCTTTAAGAATATCCGGCAATAGCTTCAGGGATGTTCGGAAACTTAAAAATTGGAATATTCTGAAACTCCGGAATTTGTAAAAAAAAAAAAGGAATTTTCGACATTCCGAAAGTCATTCCGAGCATTCCTGCTAAGCTCCGCTTACTCTCAAATTTTCGGTCGCTACGCGCATAGCTTCACACTGCTTATACCTCATTCTGGAAACGTCTAGCAGCCTGTAACTGTCTGTTCGGCGTCTTCACAACATTCTCAAACACAATATCTGGTTCCTCTTCTTCGTTTTCTTCTTGTTGCTTTTCGAATGACTTCTCCAAGATTGACTGCGTTGTCGAGGAAGACGTCGTTGGAATCTCCGCGACGTCATTTGAGTCACTATCATCCGAGACTTCAACGTGATGAACATGCTTCTCAACGACAATCTCATCTTCTCCACCACCGCCCGCTGCTCGTTCCGGACTGTCTCTGTTGAGATAAATGATCGAAGTAGACGTGTCTTGTAGCACATGTGTCGTCTTTTCTATAACAATTTCTTCTTCCTCTTTCTCTTCAACACGTTCAACCGATTTCTCGTCCTTCGTTTGGCTACCCCACATTCCAAAGATATTATTAAGCGGATTGAACAGGAAACCTAAATTTCTCTTATTCTTATCAGTTAGGACCTTTATCACTCAGACCTGCAAGCCCCTTGACTTTCTTCTGCCGCTTGTTCGGAGACTTCACTTCCTCAGCTAACCAGTGTCTTTTTCGCGCTAAAACTAAATTTTTGGTGACTCTAATCGAGGTTTTTAAAGAAACCTACAGTGATTATCTTCGTCTGAGTTATCAGACTGATTTGGCATATTTGATTGAATCTAATGCCAAAAACTGTGATGGGAATCCTTTAGAAGGTCTCAAAGGCTCAAAACCAAATCATAGAGATATCAATTTCAGGAAAGAAGACCTGTTTGAAATTCGAAGGAAAAACAATTTTGGAAAAGTATGTTATGGTAAAAAAGGGAAGGAACAGGGTGATAAGAAGAAGAAGAAGGTTGGCTGCTGGCGTACAACAGATTGAAGAAATTTCTTAGAGAAATCACTGAAAAATGTGAACAAAATCGGTAAAAAATTAGAGAGATCTCGCCACAACCAATCACCTCCAGGAAAATTTTTGCTTTTTGAGAATGTGAAAAAAAGAGAGAAGAACAATTAATATATAGAGACAGACCAAATGTGAAAAAATGGGAAAACGGCTTAAGCGACAGGGTTCGAACTGCTGTGGGGAGATTCTGCGCTTCAATGAGAAAGGTGACGTAGCAAAAATCAGCATATCTCAGCAGGTCGAACCCCATTCACAGTCAAAAACAAAAGAATAAAATAATTTAGTAAATATTTGGGACAACAATTAGATCGAGAAGACGCGAAGGCTCTTGTCCAACGAGCACGTCACCAGTGATCGTGCGTTTTCTCCGAATCGGACACCAGTCACCGGTCCGGAATGATCGGATAGCGAGGCGACTTCACTCCAGCTCTTCACATGCAGCACTTGAACTTTCTGGCCTCCAATTCCGAGGAAGGATCCAGTGATGTCGAAGGAGAGGGAGTTGATCTGAAAATTAAGAAATATTTAGTGTTGGTACTGCTGGTAAGGATATTACTGGTTGTTTCTCTTCATTCGCAAACGTTTTCAAGTTCTTGAGCTTTCTGAGATCCCACAATTTGACTTCTCCATCCTCTGATCCTGTTGCCAAGTAGTAACCATTCTCTGAGAAGGCGATAGATCGAACAGCGGCGGTGTGCCCTGGGAATGCTGCGGCGATTCCTTGATTCTTCAAATCCCAAATCTTAACAACAGCATCAGCAGCACCGGTTCCAAAGATCAGACCGTCCGGATGGAATTCAATGCAATGAACAGCAATTTGAGATCCTGGATCAACGGAGACTTTGCACAGAGACTTTCCAGAATGAATGTCAGAGAATGCCCAATAGGAGTCGTCGGAAGCAGAGAGAATGTAATCGCCAGAAGCGTTGAGAGATATATCAGTGACTGGAGCCTGGTGAATGTCGATAACCACCTTGGAGGATGCGTCATCTGCATTCCAGACGCGGATGTGGGAGTCAGCGGAAGCAGAAATGGCCGTTTTCGTGTCTGGATGCAAGACAACTGCGTTGATTTTCTTATTGTGTCCCTTGAAAGTCTGCACAACTTGCTCCTTCTCATAGTTGTACAAAACAACAGTCTTGTCGATTCCTCCCGTGAGCGATAGGTTTCCCTTGATATCCAAAGCAGTGATTCCTGGTGTTCCAGTTGAGTGAATTCCGGTGTGTGAAGCAGTCTGCTTCAGTTCTGCAAACTCTTCCGACTTCGCCAGTCCTTCTGGAAGATTCTTTCCTCTCTGCTTGCGATCGGCAGTGAGAGATTTCGATTTCTCATCCAACTTGGCAAGAATAGCTTCGCTGAGACCTTGCTGATCATCTGATTCTTCGATACTAACGTCATCATCAACTTTAGCAGTTGTATGTGGCTTCAGGGTGGAAAGTGCCTCTCTGGCAGCAGTCAATTCTTTGGAAAGGCGTGCAATGACTCGGCATGCAGCATCGTGTTGGTAAAGAGAATGAGAGAGCTCCTGACGAGCGATCTGAAGTTGTTGGCGAAGTGAAAAACTGTTGAGCATGACCGTATCCCATTCATCTTGGAGCATTTTCAACAGTGAAGGGATGGAGGTGCCTGACACATTTCGTGGAGCTGCTCCTGTTCCGCCAGCTTTCAAAGACACCAACTGGAAAAATTATGATATTGAATTGATACTTTTTCTATTTTTTGCTTACGGAGTCCTCTGCAAGCTCTCCATGACTGATGGGATCTGTGCCGTTCTCAGCGATATATTTTACGATCAAGCGGCGATCGAAAATGCATCCGGACACCGGAGACACGACTGGATCTTCGGTCGGTTCCCCACTGATTCCGCACACGAACGACATTCTGAAAATAATCGATAAACAGTTAGCAGAACATCTAAAAATGGCTAAGTGCCGAAAATGGAAAAATGGGATGAAATCGAGGAAAACCCCGGTAGAGTGATCAAGTAAGTGACCACTAGTGGTAAGTAAATGTTCTGAATTCGTTCCCAAATGCAAAATTTTGCAAAAATCGGTCAAAATCAGAGGAAAACTGTGATTTTCAGCTTGAAAATGGGCGATTAATAGGTAGGAGACTTTTCCCGGGGAAAAGGGAGATGAAACCAATAAAAATACAACCAAACTGCCAATTTAGTGGTAAGTAAAGGTCCTGAATTCGTTTTCATAAAGAAACTTTTATGAAAATCAGCCAATTCGAGAGGATAAACTATGATTTAACTCATGTTTCAGCTCATCAGAAAATCCCGACGCGAATTCGAAAAGGTGCGGTGGAGCGCGATTGCTGGCAGTGAGCAAAGGGCCGAAGTTTCTTAGTCCGCCGGCGTGGAGAATAATTTTTTTTTCTTTCAAAACATTTTTTTCTTGCGGCTAAATACCTCTCGATTTTCGCAGAAAATGCAAATTGGCGAATATGAACCCACACCCATCGATGTCACCTTGTTTGTGATAATGTTGGTGGCTCTCAAGCGAATCGTCAAGTGGATTTTAGCTCCGAAAATTGCAAAACCAACTAAATATCAGGTTTGTACTCAAAATCAATGTTTAAAATTCGATATTTCCCTTTAAATCAAAATTTTTAGGTTCCTGCTCTTGAGACAAAGGACAGAACGATGGAGGAAGTCCGTCGATTGCGCGATGAAGAGAATAGATGTCTGGTTGTAGTCCATGACAAAGTATACTGATAAAATATGTTTTTTATTCAATCTTTTGCTTTTTTTTCAGATCTACGACTTCTCAACATCCCAAGATTTGTACGACAAGAATCGTGACGTCTTCGAGGGCAAGGCCTGTGGCGACGAGTGGGTGGCGATCTGTGCCCGCAAGTTTCCTCACGTCGGAAACGTTTTGAAGCATTGAATCATCTTGTTATCAACTTATCAGCTAGTTAACGACGGGTTTCTTTCTTTGTTTGCCGGTTTAATAAAAATTATTTGTTATCTCTCTAACTCTATGTTCATTGGTTCATTTTCCATATAATTTTTTCTTCTCTTCCTCATCGTAATATTTCCTTCTAAATTAATTTATAAATTCCGTTCCCTCTTCAGATCTCAAAAATGGCTATGATGTACCCGTTCCACGTCGCCCAACCTCCTCTTAACTGGTCAGAGCACCTGTGGGTTCCTGAAATTTCCCCTGCCAAAGAGTCATTCATCACCTCGATCTGTGAGCATCGACAGGCGCAATGGGTAAAAAAGAAAGCTTTTCTTCACTAATATTCAATCGATAACTTCTCTTTCAGGACAACCAGGATCTTCTGAAACACCTCCAAGACAGCGTGGCAATTCTTCAGAAGGAGGATCAACGTTTGGCTCCAGCTGCGGCGCCAGCGGCTCCAGTCAACGCTCAGAATAACTGATTTTTCAATTTATTTCCTTCTATTTTGTATATACATAAAGTCTGAATTTCATAATTTCTTTGCCTAAAATTATGGATTACCATGCCTAATACTTTATTTTTCCCCCATTTTTTGCGTTTTTTCAAAACTTTCTAAGTCTGTTTTAACAATTTTCAGCTGGAGAGCATGCCAGATAAAAACAGAAACTCATCGGGTGGAGGCGAGAATTCCTCGAAATCGAGTGGAAAGAAACAACGTCCTAGGAATCGGAACAAACGTTGGTTTTTTTAAAGATTCGGGGCTAGTGGCCAGGTCCCACAACGAAAACTACAGTAACCTAAGAAGCGGTTAGTCAATTTTCTGACTTTTTTGAGGAAATTCATTTTGGAAAATTCAGAAAAAATCCGGAAAATATTCATTTTTCACTGATTTTCGTCTATTTTTCTGTAATTTTTTCTCATGAAAATTGACTGAACAATAATGCTACCGTAAAACCTGTATTAGAAGGGTCCTTCTATTACAGGCGCCCTTCCAATACAGGTTTTACGGTAAACTCGACGAAAATCAATAAAAAATGAATATTTTCCGGTTATTTTTCTCGATTTTCCAAGATGATTTTCCCCAAAAAAGTCGGAAAAATTGACTGAAAAACATTCAAAAATCGAATTTTCACTGAAAGTTTAAGTGAAAATTATTCCCGAAATTCCATAATTTCAAAGAATTTTGCTGAAAAAAATTGATAGATTTTCATGAAATTCGAACGAGAATTCACCAAATTTCCGATTGAAATTTTTGAAAAAAATAGCCGAAAGATTAGAAGGGCCCCTGTAATAGAAGGGCCCTCTGGAAGTGCCTTGGAACAATAGAACGCCGGCCCTTCTGATACAGGTTTTACTTAGGTTACGGTAGTGATCGTTGTAGAACCTTCTCTGCCACGGCTCCGATTTTGTACCCTATTAATATCGTATTTTATAAATTTTAGAATCCAACAACGGTGTGAAAAGCTCATCGGACAACACTGATGGGAATTCAACGACATCATCCTCTCGAAATCCTTCAAAGTCCTCTCCGGACATTTCCAACGCCCGAAAAGTAGAAATTCTGAAAAGAGATCCTAAAGCTCCGCCGCTAATATCACTAATGGATATTCAGATGAGCAAGGCTCCTTTTCAAAAGAATCAGAATCCAGCGAGTAATGGGACTACAATCGAGACGATTAAGGCGCAGACAAGGGCCTACTATTTCTCGGAAAATCCCGGATCCGCTGTCTCGGCAGACACTGTCACACATCAGTATACGATGCAGAATTTCCCGCTTGAGAGAAATGTCAATACTATGATTGACGGAAAGTTTTCGGTTCGTTTCGTTTCAATCTACTGCTAAACCTGTATTAGAATGGCCCCTTTGTATAAGGGCCCTTTGTATAAGGGCCCTTTATAGAAGGGCCCCCAAGCCTCGGAAACTGAAAAAAATTTGACCTATAAATTTCTCGTCCGTTTCTGGAATCTTCTAGAAGGTTCTCTTTTTTGAATTCCCGCCAAAACTGAAAACTTTGAAAAATTAGCGGTTTTTTGCGATTTTTCTTCGATTTTTGAGCAAAATTTTTAGACCTTTTTAGCTATTTTTGAAGATTCTTTTTCGGTTTTTTCGAACTTTTTGTCTGAAATTTGACCGGAAGATTACTGTAGATTACTGTAGAAAACTTTCTATTCTGCAGTTTTGTTTGACACAATCACGTTGAAAAACTTCAAAATATTATGCTTGTCTGAGAAAAAAAAGGTTAGAGAGTATTTTTTGCAGTCTGAATACGGTAGCGATATCGAAGCGGAGAGCCTAAATAGCACACAAACGGTGGAGACGCATACACATTTTCTCTGCGTCTCAACCTTTTTTTCTCAGACAAGCATAATAAAAAGTTTTCTACAGTAATCTACAGTAATCTTCGCGAGCATCATCCCGCCAAATCATAGGCAAAAAGTTCGATAAAATCGAAAAAGAATCGCCGAAAACAGCTGAAAAACCTAAAAAGGCCTAAAAATTTTGCTCAAAAATCGAAGAAAAAATCAATTGATTTTTCGAAAAATCGCCAAAAACCGCAAGTTTTTCGAATTTTTCAGTTTTGGCGGGAATTCGAAAAGTAAAATGACCAGAGAAATAGAAGTACTCCCTCCAATTGAAGGGTCCCTGTAACAGAAGGAGGAGAGCCGTCGGTACTTTTCTGATACATGTCTTATGGTATACGCTCTCTGAACAATCAAGTCTTCAGCTCATGATCACTCCAACAACAAGTCGCTGCAATGGTCTGTACATTCGGGTGAAGTCCCAGAATTCCGAAGATGCGCAATACGAGAAATGTGGTCAATCGGCAACTGGTGCTCTTGTCAAATTGGACTCCAGTGAGAAAACGATCAGAAAAGCATGCAGAGAAACAATGGAAAACTTTTATGAAGGTATTACCACATGAAAAGTGCTCATTTCGATAATCTCCGATTTCCCAGTTTCAACCGCATGCCGATCAAAACGCCATCCATTCTCCAAGTCTTCTGAAGCCTACCTGACGTCGTGCTTCATCAAACGACTCGAAGAACGTCTTGAAACATTTCCAGATGCAATTTATTACTGTGAGAAGTGCGACTATCATATCAGCACTATCAGTCATGCTAAGGCCCATTTGGAGAGTAGTACTCATTTTGATGATATCAAGAGACAAGACCAGCGAGAGCAACTGTTAAAGCACATTCTTGATCCATCAGCTAATCATTTGAAGTCTATAAACACAGTGCTGGAAGCGGTTCTGAATGAGTACAAAGAGGTAATAACCTGAATTTTTCAATGATTCTATCTCCTGTTCAAGTCTTTTCAGGTCCAACAAATCAGCCAGGACCAAACAGCCCATATCCTCTACTACTTGAATACCTCCGTATTTCCAACACTTGGCTGTAATAATGTGAAGCTAAGACCGTTTGGCTCTGCCACTTACGACGTCGTTCTCCCTGACAGCGACTTCAATGTTGCTTACACTATGGATCAACATGATGGGGTCTCCATTTTCTCTGTTCTTGAACAAATTCGGAAAAAAATCGCCGACGATGGATATCCAGCGGATCATTCAATGGAAATGGGCACTCCATCCACTATCATTTTCACATTTGAAGGTGTCAGAGTACGTCTTTGTTGGATGTCGTGCTTCGTCTTCCGGAGTCAGCTACACTTTTCGGATCTAATGAAAACGTACGTGGATCTCCGTAAAGAAGTCGTTCAATTCCTTCAACTCATTCGTATTTGGGCAACGAGAGCTGGTGTGGACTCGAAGAACAAACAGAGAATCGGTCTTCCGAGATATGGTTTCGATATCATGGCGATTCACTTCCTACAACGACAACAATATCTTCCTATTCTTCATGAGTTATACGATGGAGAGATAGAGGTTGAGGATCCGCAGACAACGAAGGACGAAGCCAGCTCAGAAGTATCGAAAATTCCACCGGAGGAAGCTGGACAACGTAGGATTCGGTTGATGTCTCGTTACGAGAAGGACATTAAGAATATTCGAGAGAAATTCGATCTAACCAAAAAATGGAATAGCGCTGATTTATTTATCAAATTTTTCCGTTACTATGTCAAACAGAATCGCGAGATCGTCATTCAAATCACTCAATCCGAGGCGATGTCGAGAGATGCGAATCGTTGGAATAAGAAGATTCTTCATGTTGTCGACCCATTCCGTGGTGATAATGTTCTATCGATACCGAAGGTGTCCACCTGGCAGCCATTCTACTTCAATTGCCTATTGACGACATTCCTAGCCTTCGCCATTCCGAGAACTGAAAATGGACCATTGGTGGAAGTAGGACTTCTTCATAATGTTAGTTTTTTTGGAAAAAATGGGATTGGGGTTGCAGAAAATCGAAAATCATATGAGCTTCATGTGAGGAATACAGTGGCCTAACTTCCTCCACATTATTTTTCTAGGCCACTGTAGCTAATAAGCAGAAATAGTTCTGGTGGGTTTTCTAGGTAAATTTAACATGATGGCCTAACATCTGCAAGCTGAGTTTTCTAGGCCACCAACGTGTATGACCTAGAAATGACCTAATATTCGCCTGGTGAGTTTTCTAGGCTGTTTTCACTGGTTTCGCATGTTGAGTATTCTAGGCCATCGTGGTGAATAGACTAGAAAACTCACCAGACGAATATCAGATCATTTCTACGGTATTTATGATGATGGCCTAGAAAAATCAACGTGCGAATGTTAGGCCACACTGTTAAATGACCCGGAAAACCATTTGAAAATGACCTAGAAAACAAATCAGGTGTAAATTGAAGGAAAATAGAAAATTAAACGAAATGTGAGTCAGGGAACTACATAATTATTTCGACGAAAACGAGATTTTTGGACTCCTTACCCTATGTGAAAAATTATGTCAAATAAAAAATTTTGAAAGTGTACTGATTAGCCAGACATTTCGTCTGTTGATCCCTTTCGCCACATCTCAGTACGTGAAAGGGAATCTGGTTTTTACCGGGAAAAAACCTGACGAAAAACCACTGGCACCAGGGAATCTTGCGAAACCACTGACATCAGGATATATGGGGATATATCACTGGCATCAGGATATGGGGGGGGGGAGGCATATCACTGGCATCAGGGAGTTTTGCGACACCCTGGGCAACGAGGGAGGGAGGGAGAAAAAGGAAGAAAAAAAAAATGAAAACTGAGTATTTGAGCCCTCATCTAGGAACATCCTCATCTTGACCTACATGCGTCTTCACTTAAGGGGCGGGGCTTAACAAACCTGGAAAAATCCCGCCCCCTGGGAAACTCCGCCCATTTTTCTCACATTTTAGTGTACCTAATACGTCTTCAGTTGATATGAGAAGGAGTAAAAGGCAATAAAACAGGTGCGAAATGCATTCACACCGTTGATTGTAAACCGCCGCAGGTGTCATAAAACAATAGATACCTCATGCTCTCATGGGAAACTATCAAGAGAGCTTTTTCAAGTTGCATTTTCAAGACCACCGACTTTTACGGCCAAAAAATTATCTAATATTACCTTGATGTGTTTTCTTTTTTGTCATTTTGACATGGTGGCCTAACTTTCGCATGTTGAGTTTTGTAGGTAATCAAGGTAAATGGCCTAGAAAACTCAAAGTGCAAAAGTTAGGTCACATTGCTGGAATATCTCGAAAAACACACACTGGATTCACAAAAGCCTTGTAACGAAATTACTTTTTTTTCAGAAAACCACAACTTCCAAAAAGAAGGTCAAAGAGCCACAGACTCCCAAAAGGAATCATGTAGAAGTACCCCCACAAACTCCAGACGTCTTTAAAACTCCAAAAGTGATAGCTCAAATCACAGAAGAGGAGTATCAAGCGGCTGCTGATGAGCTAGCCGAGGAGCAAGACGAAGAAGAGATAATGAAACAGAAGTTGAGCCGTTGGAAATCGATGGAATCAAG